TTAGATACGCCTGGCGTATCTCACAGGTCTGAACGTAGCCAATATAGCGCCTTTGGATCTGTGCCTGTTATTTTTGTTCCTAAGTTCTATGCGCTCGCGTGAAGCGTAGAACCTGTCGTACGATCTCGCCATTTTAAAAAAATTGTAAATCGGAGATTTTATGAGATTTAAATGTTGATATTAGTGTTAATCAATAATTATAGTCGTGAACTTAGTTATTTTACATGTTGTCAGAAATGCACTTCGAAAAATTCGGTGGGATTAATGAACGCCTTAAAACAATTTGAAAGGTGGCAAGGCCTAGCTATCCGTCGTCAAAGTGGAAATTATTCGCAAGTACGTAGCCTGGAATACGTCAAACAAGCAAGGACGTGTGTATTTATGTTATTCTGACACTCTGGGAGGAACATTGCAAAGGAAAAACAAACATCATTTATGAAAGATACAAGATTAATAATTGCGTACAATCAGTTGATCGATTTAATACATATTAGTCATAACAGAGAGAGTTAGCACAGTCATTCAATTTTGGAAATTTAAGTGATGATTTAATCCGAGACCGCATAGTATTTTGAATATCAGACGACACACTTCACAAGCGGCTACTACAGGAAGAGAGTCTTTGTAAAGCTGCGCATTTGAAGTAACATAAACATTACCAACTTGAACTTTAAATGTTTACCAATCATTTTACAGCGAAAAATAATCGAAACACTTCCAATCACTGGAACTGTTTTATTATCTTTATTATAATTGTCTAGTTTAAAAATCATTTTTTAAAAATAAATAACTTGTATGCTTAAGTTATAATTTATATGTTACTGCAAAATGGGCAAGTTAATTTTAAAATTATTTTCTAAATTTTGTTTTTGTCATTTTAAAGGGACAATACATCTTTAATCAAAAGTCACGATTAACAAAAAAAGACCAGTCGTGCAAGGATTTCACAAACAGCTGTAGATATTGTGAAAAGCACACGAACTGATTTGGATACAAGCTCAGTCGAGGACTGGCGTACTCGAGATTGGTGTTTGTTACAGACCACTAAGGTTTAATGCTTCTCTTCACTCTGAAATGTTTAATTGTGTAAACAATGCTATTGCTAAGTGCCCGAACTTGTGGGATGTTTATTTATTAGGAAATTTAAATTTAAATTGAGGCAGTTAATTGGCCTGCTAATTGATCATATTTCTTCAATCAGTGACTATGTATTGGTATGTCTCAACTGGTTGACAGTCACATGTAAACGACACTTGCATTCGTTGGCCACATACTGGATTATGTTTGGGTCTTTTCAAAATTTCCTGTTACTAATGTAGCAGTTATTGATAGTTAACCTTTATGTGATCATCTCGCGGTGCATATTGAATGCAATATTCAACATCTTATCAAAAACATGTGGCTCGCCTAACGTATTACTATGGTAAAGCTGACTGGAATCATTTGAGCATGTATACTTTATGATCTTCTTCATGACAAATATGTTAATATTATTTAGAAAGGGTGGATTGATATAAATTACTTAAACCATGAATGATTCGATGCGTAGAGCTGATTTTAAATGAGGAATAAAAGATGAATTACACCAGACCTTATAAAAATGTGTACAAAAAAGAAAAAATTGTACACTCGTCATTCATTCAAACATTACGTGAAAGGTCTTGACAGGGATAAGTCTTTGCGTTATTTCTGTATATATGTTCGCTCAATAAAGGTGCTTCATCTCACTCTTTATTTTTTTTAAAAATCAGGGTTCATTTGTTTCTTTTCTCAACAACGTTGCAAAATGTATTTATCAATAATATCGATTTGCTTATTGTTGTTGCTCCGCAATAATAATGTTCCGCTTATAGGCAATGTTGAGGTTGATGTTGAGCAACTATTTAGCATGCTTGAGTCTCTAAATGCAAACTCAGCTATGGGTCCCGATTGTATCAGTCCGAGAGTTCTCAATCAGGGTCGTAGTGTTATCTCCTTTGGGCTTTGTAATCTCTTTTCACATGTCTTAATGGAAGGTATCATCCCCTCGCCTTAAACTGCAAACATTGTGCCAGTGTATAAAGGGGGTAACAAACCAAAGGATAATGTTTGTAGTTAACGTCCCGTATCCTTGTCCTCTGTCATCAATAATTTTTTTGAAAGTCTTGCTTGAGACCCATTTTAAATTACCTTGATGACCATGCAATTATTGGCATGGGTTTCGGAAGGGAATACGGAATTGCTTTTAGCAAATCTTTATCATCATAGGACTTTTCAATTTGATAGGCATTCTTGTACATTTATTGATGTAGCCCTCTTAGATTTTACGCCTGCCTTCATAGTAGGAAATAAGATCGTTCTTCCTACAATTATCGGCTCAAGCTGTTTAACTTATGTCATTTGGATGTCAGGAGGAGGGTGTCCATGGTGGTTTGCTGTTCGTTACTAAAAAGAATTCCCAGCCTCTATGGATATTCCATTAGTGATGAATTCCCGTCATAATGATAGATTATACTGGATTCCGACTCGCATTATTTCCCCCCACAATTAGGACAGAAACTATAGAGGTCGCTATTGTAGGTCAATTTGTAGAGCTGATAAACATTAATATGCATAACCAAGTTTGACGCCCATGCATGATTTCATGGCGCGGTGTTTGTTTTGGGTAAAGATGCCTGAGCTGTATACATAGCATTATTACCGTATTTTATGTATGCTGGAGGTAAGATAAAGATTAAAAAATGGTAGATTCTGTAAAACCCAATTCCATACTTCGTTGTGCAGATCATCATGTAATATGGTGATATTGAAATACTCAAGGTAGGCCTATACAATATGTATGCAACATATTTTTATTTTTGTTTTAGCCTAACCATTTGTACACAGGCGCCTAAGATTAAGAAGGGCCTAGGCTACTACTATTACGCAAAACAGGCCTTGCCTATTTTAAGTATAATATTAATGCTGCTGCTTTTGCTATTATTATTATTATTATTAGGTCTATTATTATTAATAATCCAATTGTGAAAAATATGTTTGATAAATTGCTTTTTAATTCTAAATTGTACGTCAGCTGGTCTGACATTTTATATTAGTATACTTCTTTTTTGAATAATGTAATTGTATTGTTTATGCATTGAGTCTGCGAAATAAAAGTTTATATTTACGCGTAGCGATTTATGTTCAAAATTCATAACAAATTGTGATGGAATTAAAGACGAATTATACTATAGTACCAAATACGCTTCGAATTGGTTTGATATGCAATTGCAAGCCTAAAAAAGATATTAAACACAAGATACAATTTTATTCGAATTAGATACATGAAAATTCTATTTCCACACTTAAACTTCAGTTAAATAAATAATAAAATATAATATATAAACATAAAAAAGCCAGCGAGTTAGCCCTAAATCGTACATACTTAATTAAAAACACCGTTTGGGTCACTGTATTTAGTATGGATTTTAAACACATTAGTGTTAACCTTCAAATTAAACTTTAAAAATCAGTTTCAATATTACTTAACATTTTTTGGTTTGAATTACTACCATTCTTTCTTTGTCTCCAGTAATATATTATTCATATATGTTGAGAATCAATTATAAAGTAAGCTAACGCCTTGTGTTTAATAATTTTCTTTGCAGATCGGCTAATTACAACAGTATACAATCAATTGATGGAGCTTTTGATGACCTATCTGCTCTTGTTAGGGTGTATGCAGTTTTCTGAATACATTTACTTTTTTGAATACTGTAGAAACATTAGTTTCAAGTCTTAATTCTAAAAAAAAAAGTCAACACACAAAAAAATCGTAAACAAATATGAATGGCCTTGTATTGTAGGCATACAATACGGCACTTATTTTAGTACTAGAATGTATCAGGTAATATTTGAATACCCCTAAGATATAAAAACACTTTACATATAATTAAAAATAATGATGTGTGTGTGTGTGTAGTAGGTGAATAACATAAACGGTTGACTTTTCCAGGGGCCTAGATGGTAATAATGTGACATTCATCAATAACAGAACCTTTAAAGACACAATGGATTTAAGGGAGTTGTAAGTATAATGAAATCAATGTAATTTATCCAAGTTACTATCGGTATATATATATATATATATATATATATATAT